AAAAAAAAATAATATTTATAATGGATAATTATATAAATATTAGTTTTTTTAAACATTGAAAAAAAAAAAAAAAAAAAAATTTTTTTTTCTTTATCATAATAGTAAATTTTTAGATCCTTTTTTTTTCGCGGATTAACTTTCGACCTTTACGTACCAGCAATTGTCGATCAAGTTTTCTTAAATTTTTTCCTTCTTTACACAGAATTATTGATTGATTGACCCGTGTAATCTTATAATACCTTTTAGTTAAAAAAGCTCATGATAAAAGGATCAAAAAAGTTAGAAAAAAGTTTCAAAATAGTTTCATTATAGTAAATGTCAAATATTTCATTATTTATTTTTTATTTTACCATTTATTAAAAAAAAGTCTTAAAATAAAACATGTAAATCTCTCATAATTTATGATTAAAAATTTTTGATTCTTAAAAAAATTTCATAAATTTTTTTTTTTCGTTCATTAAATGATTATTATTTTGATTGGTCGATTGTATCATTTAAACCTATTTTATCTTTTATTTATTTTACTGTTTCCTTTATTGGTATAGAATAAAAAGTTTTCTAATTATAAAATTATAATTATGTTATCTGTTATGTTTGTTCCGTTAAATATACATATTTTAGGACTTATCGGATATCTTCCCCTTTGTAAAACTATGTAAATAACAAATAATTTCTCCTTTTCTAAAATTGTTCAAAATTGTTTATCGTTTGGGTTATTTTGAGGTTAACGCGTAAAAAATTTTCACGCGACTTTAATGTTTTATATTTACAAATTAATTCTTCACGTGAATAAATAAATAATTATGTCGGTTCGATTTTGCTTTTCTTCGATTTCATTGATTTCGTTTGATTTCGTTTGATTTCTTTTGATTTCTTTTGATTCCTTACTATAAATAAACTAATTAAATGTTTTTATGCACTAAATATCTGCAAATATTTCTTACAATGTTAATATTACGTATTACTTGGTAAAGAAAGAATAATTGTTTTATTTTTTTTAACAATAACCTTTTCCTTCTCAAGATTAAACGAATCATACCTTTTCAACTTCCTCTTTTGTGTCACGCTCATGTGTCACGTTTTTGCTTCTCATTTTTTTTGATTTGAAAAAGTATTATGATAAGAGTTTTTTTGCTCTGTTATAATTAAAAGAACTTAATATTATTTAGTGTAATAATTGTCCCTATTATCACTTTTTCCAATAAAATAATTTTGTACTCTTGTAGATTTTCCTTTCTTTTGTTTCTTTTGTTCCCAAAGTCAAAGTCATAATGTAATAATCTAATTGTTTCTAATTGTTCTAATTATTTTCTAATTATAATTAAATTATTAAATTTCATAATCATGTTATTTTATATACTCTCAACTTTCTAACTTCTATAAAAGCCACTTTAATAAAGCCCACTTTAGGTTAAGTAATTTATGTCATTTTACTCCTTGTCAAAAATCACCGTGAAAAATTATTAATTCTTAATTGAAAAAGAACCACCCTCGAGTTTTTAGGTAAGGAACTTTTGTTTTTAAGCTACTTACTAAGCTTAAAACTATTAAAGCTACATGTTAAGCTTAAAGGCTATTAAAACTACTTGTTAAGCTTAAAAAAGCTTAAAAAGTTTTAAACCCCAAGGGGAAAGACAATATTGATTATCGAAATTTTCACGTGATCGTGCTCTTTTTTTTTTTATACATCGATTATGATGATGACTCATTCTCGTTCTTTTAAATCACACGTTAATTCTCTCTCTTTATTTATTAAAAAATGGAAACTACATCCGGTGTAAAAGTTGCGGAAGAACCAAAAAAGGTTTTTATTCAATAATTATTATTATTTATTTTTAATAATTTATTTCTAATATTATCTTCTTTCCTCATTTAAAGACTGTTAAAAGAGACGCTTTAAAGTCCATTGAACAAAAGATTCAACAAATATGGGAAAATGAACGTGTTTTTGAAGTTAACGCTCCAACCTTACAAGAAATTTCTGATGATTCTATTTTACATGAAAAATTTCCAAAGTTTATGGGTACTTTAGCTTATCCTTATATGAATGGAAGATTACATTTGGGTCATATGTTTACTATTACAAAAATTGAATTTACAACTGGATATGAAAGAATGAAAGGCAAAAGAGCTTTATTTCCTTTAGGTTTTCATTGTACTGGTATGCCTATAAAGGTAATGTTTATTTTTTTTTAATATATATTTTCTTATTTCCTTATTTATATATATATATATATATTTATTTATTCATAATTTCATATATTTTTAATTAGGCATGTGCCGATAAATTATCAAGAGAAATTGAAAAATTTGGTCCAAATTTTAAACTTCCAGAGATTGATGAAGGAGTTAAAAGTTTAGATTTGAATTCCTCTTCTCATGATCCATCTGGATCATCATCAAAAGTCATGCAAAAAAAAGGAAAAGTTGCATCAAAATCAACTGGTCAAAAATATCAATTTCAAATTATGAAAAGTTCTGGAGTACCTGATGAAGAAATACCAAAATTTGCTGATGCAAAATATTGGGTTTATTATTTTCCTAAATTGGCCATAGTGGGTATCATTAATTATCATATTTTGTAATATTTTATTAATTTTAACCATATTTCCATATTCCCATATTTTCATATTTTAACAAAAAACTTTTTATCATCATAGAAAGATTGCAAGTCTATTGGTGCTAAGATTGATTGGCGTCGTTCTTTTATTACAACGGACATTAACCCTTATTATGATTCATTTATTCGATGGCAAATGAATAAATTGAAAGCTCTTAATAAGATTAAATTTGGTGAAAGATACACTATCTATTCTCCTTTTGATAATCAACCTTGTATGGATCATGATAGACAAAGTGGTGAAGGGGTTGGTCCACAAGAGTATACTTGCATCAAACTTAAAGTTTTAGAGTGGAGTAAAAATGCTAAAGAACTTTTTGGTGAAAACCCAGAATTTAAAGATAAAAATATTTATTTTGTTGCTGCTACTCTCAGACCTGAGACAATGTAGGTTTATATGAAATTCTTTTAAATAATCTCTTTATATTAATTAAATTAAAAATTTTTTTTTTTTTTTTAGGTATGGACAAACGAATTGTTACATAGGGACTGAGATAGATTATGGTCTTTTTAAAATTAATGACACTGATATATTTATTTGTACTTATCGTGCTGCTCGTAATATGGCGTTTCAAGGATATTCTGAAGATCGTGGTAAAGTCAATCAATTGGCTGAAGTTAAAGGATCAGTATTAATTGGAACTAAAGTCAACGCTCCATTGAGTAAATATGAACAAGTTTATATTTTACCAATGGAGAACGTTTTACAAACTAAAGGAACAGGTGTTGTTACATCGGTTCCTTCGGATTCTCCAGATGATTATATAACTCTTATGGATCTTAAGAAAAAAGCTGAATATTATAAAATAGATCCATCATGGGCTAATTATGAACCTGTACCCATTATTCGTACTCCGAATTATGGTGATTTATCTGCTCCAAATGTTTGTGTTCAAAAGAAAATCAATTCTCAAAAGGATCGTGTACAATTGGCTGAAGCTAAAGATATAGTTTACAAGGAAGGATTTTATAATGGCATTATGTTAGTGAGTGATTATGCAGGAAAACCTGTTCAGGAAGTCAAACCATTAATTAGAGATTTGTTGGTTTCCACAAAACAAGGTTTCATATATAACGAACCTGAAAGTCTTGTAATGTCACGTTCTGGTGATGAATGTGTTGTTGCTTTATGTGATCAATGGTATTTGGATTATGGTGAAGAAAATTGGAGAAAATTGGCGGAAAAATGTCTTAGTCAATTGAATACTTATGGTTTAGAAGCACGTCATCAATTCGAGCAGACGCTTGCTTGGTTGAATCAATGGGCTTGTGCTAGAAGTTATGGTTTAGGTTCTAGACTTCCTTGGGATCCTCAATACTTGGTTGAAAGTTTATCAGATTCCACTATTTATATGGCTTATTATACGGTGGCTCATTTATTACATGGTATGTAATATAATTATTCTTTTTATATGATGGATACATAAATTAATTTAATTTTTTCAATTCCTATTAGGTGGGACACTTGATGGTTCAATACCGGGACCTCTTGGTATTAAGGCTTCTGAATTAACGGATGAAGTATGGGATTATATTTTTAATGATGCAACTTATCCAACTTCTTGTTCTATCCCACAAGAAAAACTGGATATATTAAGACGAGAATTCAGATATTTTTATCCTTTAGACCTTCGTGTATCTGGAAAAGATTTAATCCCTAATCATTTAACCTTCTTTATTTATAATCATGTCGCTATATTTCCTGAAAAATACTGGCCAAGAGGTATAAGATCAAATGGTCATTTGCAATTAAATCGGGAGAAGATGAGTAAAAGTACTGGCAATTTTATGAATGGTTGTGACGCTGTTGAAAAATATGGTGCTGATGCAACCCGTGTAACACTTGCTGATGCAGGTGATGCAATCGAGGATGCAAATTTTGAAGAAAGCACTGCAAATGCAGCCATTTTAAGATTGTTTACTTTGAAAGAATGGTGTGAAGTACGTTATTTACATCAAAATCATTAAATTTAAAATTTAATACTAACAAAAATAAAATCTATAGGAACAAGTAAAAAACAAAGATTCCCTTCGTACAGGGTCAGAAAATAATTTTCATGACAGAGTTTTCGAGAATGAGATTAACAAATTAATTGAACAAACAGATAAGTCATATAATGAGTAAGTTTAAGAGATATTAAATGAACATTTATTACATTTTATTACATTTTATTACATTTATTACATTTATTTAATTTGTCTATCAATTAACTCATTTTCCACTTTATAATTTAGTTCAATGCATCGTGATGCATTGAAGTATGGATTTTACGAGTTACAAACAGCTCGTGACTGGTATCGTGAAGCCGTTGTTAATGAGGGAATGTCTAAAGATTTGATTTTACGATGGATTGAAATACAAGCTTTGTTGTTATCACCAATAGCTCCACATTGGTCCGAATATATTTGGAAGGATGTCTTGTCAAAAGTGAGAAAAATCATAATTGGATGATATACATTATTTTTATAGTTTTACTGATTTGAGTATCACATTATTAGGAAGGCCTTATTGTTAACGCACCTTTCCCAAAAATATCTGCTCCTATTGATGAAGGATTGATTGAAGCAGGAGAATATGTTAGAAAGATGATCAAATCTGTACGTGATCTAGAAATAGCATCACAAAAGAAGAAAAAGAAGGGTAAAGGAGAAAACTTTGATCCTTCTAAACCTAAATCACTTAAATTATTTGTTGCAACACGATTCCCAGAATGGCAAGATTTTGTTGTCGATGCCATAAAACAAAATTATGATGAGGTAAGTTTAAATAAATATATTGTTATGCAACTTTATTTTATATTATATAAAATATTTAATATTTTAAATAACAATTTGTAGCAAAATAAAACTTATGATGACGTTAAAATTCGAGAAATTTTATCACAAAAAGGCATTTTAAAGAATAAAAAGACGATGCCATTTGTACAAGAATTTAAGAAAAGTGTTGATAAACTTGGTCCAATAGCATTTAATCGAACCTTATTATTCGATGAATATGATACACTTGTTATGAGTAAAGATTTCATACAAAAGAGTTTAGGGTATAATAAAGTTGATATTTTTAGAGAAAATGAAGCAACAGAAAGTGGTGAAAAAATGGTGACTGAAATAGCTGTTCCTGGTGAACCTGGAGTTTTATTTAAGAATATAGAATAATAACAGTATCATGATTTTTAAAATTTTAATCATGTAATAATTAACATGTAATAATTGTTATCAATGTAATAATAAAAAAAAAAGTCATGTGATAGTAAGTTCATTTCAGTATAGAAGGTAAGGTTATATATAGATTTATCAACTTTAATAACTTTAATAAAGTTTATTAGCTATTGCTAATTATTGCCATAATTTCATATTTATGGATTAGTTATTATTCTTACCACATATTACATCTTATTTACTAACAACCTACTTCTTATTAAAAACTTATTATCTTTACAGTCTATATAAAAGAAGGTTGTCTAATCCTCTATTATTATTAATTTAGCAATTGAAAAGTTGCTTAACATTCCAAAAAGTTCACAAAGTCTAAAAAACTTATAGATATCAATACAAAAGAAAATGTATCAATAAATATTTTCATTATCTTTAATTTCTTCAATTCATATGTATTTATATAATAAGAATATTAAAATATATGAAGTACCTTTCACTTTTCATTCATTATCTTAGATACAGTCAACCCTTGTTATAACAAACCCTAGGTTCTAGACCTCAACTTCATTATAGGGCTATAGTGAAGATTTTAAGAGATTTGATTGGTTAATTCATTATAGTAAGGGGAAATTTATCATAGTTATCTGAAAATTCACTATATCAAGGATTCGCTATATCAAGATTTGACTGTATAATGGAATTATTAGGATTTTTAGTTTTTAAAAAAATCTAATATTTGAATTTAACCAATATAATTTCAAATTCAAATTGTTGAAATTTAAAATAGCAAATAATAAATATCTTATAAAACAAATTTTTAATAATACAATTTACTCTTACTATAATGAATTCTATATAATAAATTTTACTATATTAAAATTTATTATAATAAATAAATTGGTAAACTACCCAATAGCATCCAGAAAAATTCTTCAATCACATCTTCACATGATAATTTTGCTGATCATTTCTTAAAATATTACTAAAATATTTTTTTTAAAATAAAACTTGGAAATATAAATTTATACATATTTTAAATTATATATTATCCGTAATTTTACATACTCTACAAGTTTACTTAGAGTAATCTTTAGCTTTTTATATATATTTTTTTAAAATAATGAATTTTGCAAAAAATGGCATTAGCCGTTTATGACTAAATAATATAATTATATTATTTAGTCATAAACGGCTTAGACTAGGTTATTTAGTAATAAAATAATCTAACTATAACTAAATAATCTAAGTATGACTATAAATAATCTAAATATAACTAAATAATCTAAATATAACTAAATAAATTAAATATATCTAAATAATCTAAAGTTAACAACCTAAATATGATTAAATAATCTAACTAAATAACCTGTTTGTGTTAATTTTGTGTACCTAGTTATTTTTTCTTACTATATTCCTTCCCTTTGAATTCGCTTTTCTTTAGCCTTTTTCCGTTAATTATTTGTGATCATGTGATTAAATAATCTAAATACGACTATGCCTAAATAATCTAAATATACCTTTTTTTATTATGAGCTGTGTGTTAATAAATGCTTTCTCGTATAATTTATTCTGGTGAGGCTTCACGGTTGATCGGTTACTAAGTAGGTGGTGATTTGTTTTCCATTTTAAAGCCTTTTGATTACCGGCTGGGTATGTAGTGCCATGCTATCCTTCTTGGTTGCCAGTACTGGGCCAGCCGGTTTGGATGCTAGTTCTATATTAAGAATTTGCGTCTATTTGGTTGTCTTTCCAGATCCCAAAATATGGTAAAAAAAAATATCACGTCTGATGGCGCAGTAGATCTGTGATTAATTTCGGCCGGCACTTCTGAGGTCCGATTATGGTTTAATCTAGGTCGAGGCAATGTGTATGCTATTTTTTTGAGCGTCCCTAGTGTCCCTAGTGTCCCTAGTGTCCCTAGTAAAAGTAAAGTTGTGGCCGAATTTATGGAATATTACGTTATCAAAATTAAACAAAAATCTATTGTGCCAAAAATAATAATAAAATTTGTCTAACTTCAATATCAATTTTGGATATTCTATTGGGCGTGCAATTTGTATTAGCTTGGCCGGCCCATTTGTTTGCTAAGAAGTACACCATAACTATTGCGCCAGTATATGTATGCCGATTTCGTGTCTGTGGTTGGAGGTGCATTATGTATTATCATGGCCTGCCCAGAGAAGCGCATTCATATTGTATTTCCAGTATGTTTTCAGGCATATTAGGATGCAAAATAGGACGGATTTTTTCTTGTTGTCACTATGAAAATTTGTTAGTGACGCTCTTAGTGACGCTCTTAGTGACACCCCTTGTATGCTTTTTCTAAGTTTGGGGACGCTCGATTATCTTCCTTTGTATCTGTCACTATGTCACTAAGAGTCACTAAGAAAAAGTAAAGTTCTAGTAAAAAAATCGAAATTTTTCTATGCTATCCTATGGCTTATATGCGATATAGTATGATACATATATGACATATGCGTGATACATATATGCTAAAAAAAATGAAAAAAAGTTAAGGAACTCGGACTTTTCTTAGTGACTCTTAGTGACATGGTGACACCCATCTAGAAACCGTCCGAGAGCTCTAAAAATCTGAAATAGCTATAAATTTTGTCACCAAAAGCGTCACCAAGGGCGTTACCAAGATTTTCTCAGTGACAGTGACATCTTTTTTCTAGTGACAAACTGTATTATTTTTGTTTACCTCTAAATTACCTACCAATATCTCCGCCGAAGCTATCTTAGCCTGCTTTTTCCGATGGTACTGTTCCTTTTTACGGTGCTTTCTAGCATGTAGATCGCAAAACCCATATCCAGAATAAGTTCGTTTACCACATTCAATG